GCAGGACAACAGCACTGCAAAGAGAAGGAAAACTTGAAACAAACCCTATACCAACCCGTCTGGCCAGCGTGGTATAGTAGGCCAAAACCTCCTTTCTAAGGAGTGGCCTATGTCCAGTAGTGGCCTATTATAGGCTGTTGATGATATCACACATCACACCGTGAATTCCCACAAACAAGGTCAGTTTTAACTTTTTCGATTGTTTAATACAGTTATTATGATTGAAGTCTGGACATTCCTTCAACATCTTTGATCTTTTGAATACTCTTAATTTCGTTTATGTCAGCCGGTAGTCCTCTCTCATAAGAATTTATAGTTAGATCTGTCAATATTCGAACTAAATTTGTCACTCAAAATACAACAAGTAATAAAAATCTTAAAAACAATAAATAGCGCTTTATAATATCTATGGGGACGATACGAGCCTAAAATATCGTTACACATTTTTAGACACCCTATATTAAATTTTTATAGCTTGGCTTAAAAAAAAACAGAATACAATAAAACAATAAAATTTTGGGTTCCTGCTAATATTCCTAATTATCAATTTAATTAAAATAGGTAAGTATTTACTAAATAAAGCTCATATTAATTCAAAGTTCTATAAATCTCTAACAATGATTTTCTATTTTGCCATAACTCACTCTCACACACCGCCTTCTGATCCCAAAGTAAGCAAATGTACCGTGCAACCAGACTGCTGATAAACCTGCTTAAATATTTAAAAACAACTTACATTTTATAAAAATTTTGATCGCGCTCTGTTTTGGATGAGAATCAAACCCGATTTTCAACCATCGGTCGGCACTTCCATGAATTCGTTTCCACCACTATCGATACTTTTATACAACTAATTTCAGAAGCTATTAACGCAGACACCATCATGGATATTCCAATAAAGCATTGATATTTGCTGTCATGGATTACTTCTGGTTTATTACGGTGTATTCGTAACATAGTTATAATACAGAAAAGATCAGTTGCTACCATCAAATATATTTTTTTGTGTTACCTATTAAAAATATATAAGATTGTATAAAAATATGTAAAAAAGGACAGGGGAGAACATAAGTGGCATAGGACTTGCGTTATTGGAACAGGCAACAAATTGCCCGACATTGGTTAAATAAAAAACTTTTTTTTATTTAACCAATGTTGGGAAATTTGTTGCCTGTTTTGATGAAAGCCAAGAGAAACTTATGATCCTGAACAACTTACCAGGGCAGACTTGGGTAATCCATCTGAAGTATAACAGATACCATTTACACCCAACACTCCTCTAATCATAATTAACAAAAAACATACATACTGACATAGCCAGGTGTACATAATCTTATACTACTCGTAAACTTTTATCAAAATTAATTAATTTTTACATCCCAAACAAAATTGTCCAGTTGAAAAAATATTATGGTAAAATAATTTATAAAACTTGGTAAAATAATATGGCAAATTAATTCAATAAAAGTCAATTGGTCTTTTATTGAATTAAAAGATCTTTATTTCATCAAATTACTCAGTAATTATTCAAAACCGTCTATTGTTTTTCTTAAATAAATGTATCATTCTAGATAAAAAACAAATTTTAAACAACAGGTTAGAATTTTGACAACGAACTTGGTACAGGGGTGGTAGTTTAGGCTCCGGTTACATCACCCACTCGGTTAAAAGCAACGAAAAAAATGGCTTAAAACCGGTATTATGTGAGGCCGTGATATAACTCCAGTCGAGCCAAGCCATTTGTGAAAAAGTATATGGCTCTTCAACAATCGGTCAATATGTTTTTTTATTAAAAGCAAAGTATATTACAAAGTAATTTCGTAGGTTATTTTTCCATTAATGCCATTATCTAATAAAACTCATTATTTAATCAAATCCTTTGGGATTCACATACGTCCACGTGTAGCAAGTATAACGGCCATTTAAATGGAGGGCTTAATAAATGTTTAGCTATTAATATTAAACAATCCATTTAAGAACTTGACCCGTGGTACGTGTAGACAGTGAGTAATATGAACAGCGGCTGTTAAGATGGAAATCTCGAATACGTGATTAAACCCTTTGTTATTTTGTAGTGACCTTTGGCAAGATGGCGCAATATAAACATCCAAAGTAATTTCGTCTCAGGCCGATGCACGGGATATTAATGGCGGGGAAAGCGAGATCCCGATGATGTGTCTTATTTGGGCAATTAAAATCTTTAATTAAAAATAGCAAGAAATAAATATTCCTTTTTAGTTTTAACTTAATGAACTATCGGGAAGGTTTTATTTGCTAACCCTTTGAAATCTTCCATAAGATGTAAATAGGTACTTAAACAATTTACTTATAAAATGTGTTTACATTTACTTATAAAATGTGTTAGATCGTAATAGTTTTGTGATATCCACGCTGTCAAAAACTAAAGAATAAAAATTTTAAACCAACCCGCCTGGCCAGTGTTTTATTGTAGCCAAAACCTCATTTCTAAGAAGAGGCCTATATCCAGCAGTGGGTTAGTATAGGCTGTTGATGATGATGATGGATCCAGTGGTTGGTGTTGATGGATGGTGAGAAATCTTGACCGTTTTGCCAAAGGTTGTTTGCTCGATTCCTAATGAGAAATATTTGTGTGATGAGAACAAATATTTTTGCCTCTTTGTTCTGTGTCCGAATGTATTTTTCTATACACGTAGTTTACAGCAGACTAGCTACAAGAGTACAGACTCTGCCTAGTCTAGTATTAGACGACCATGTGTGAAGTGTGCCTAGTCAATGTAGAATTAATTAATCGCATTGATTGATATGGTTAAATGTATCTCTCAACAGCCTCTAATAGTCCACTGCTGGACGTACGGCCCTTTCCACTACTATACCACGCTGGCCAGACGGGTTGGTATAGGGTTTGTTTCAAGTGTTACTTCTCTTAGCAGTGCTGTTGTCCTGCGTAGTTTGCTCCCTTTAGTCGGCTCTTACGACACCCATGGGATAAATAGGGGTGGTGACACTCCGTATTCTTAAGAACCACAAACAATGTGTACATTTGTTTTAAGTATATTCTGATAGCATGCTTCAAGAAAGGAGTAAGAGGTACAGGTATTGAATTGTGTGTAATTTAGAATAATACGAGTAAACACAACAAAAGTTTGCTCTTCGACAGAATACTGAATAAATTATTAAAGGAGCCGAGTGTTCCCGAAAGTGCCGATGTCTTTGAACCACATAGGTAAATAAACTTTGCTAGCTACTTGAAATGGAACAAGAGTTATTACATTAAAAAAAACATTAAGAAGCTTAAATCCCGTTTTAATTCTACAATTATATTTAATGGGAATTTCACTGGTAGAAACAGCGGTATCTAGATATTGATTTATATAAAACATACTTTGCCACCTTGTTGGAGGAAAAACATCAACGTGTCAATGTTACAAAAAGGTCCTTAACCCCTTTTGATCGGGGACATTAAAAAGATCAAATTACGTTCTAAGTTTAAAAGATAAGTGAGGTTAGCTTTATATCGCAGCTTTGAAATTGAAAAGTGTCGATTCCAAATAAAACTGATCCAGTTTGACCTTATGGTAAAAGAGCTGACGGTCGGCCCCTGTAACTTTTTTAGCTCAAGGAAAAATATATTGTTCACTATTTATAACTTTATTTTTAATTCGTATGATCCTTTAAATCCACGGTACTTTAAAAACTAAAGAGACAACAGCTTATTCAGTAAAAAATACAGTTTATTAATTTCTCATTTTATTTACTGTATAAAATAGCTGAATAAACATGCTTTGCTCATGCTTCTTAAAGTTTTATATAAAACAGAGGACACTTAATTTTTTTTCTTACATACACGTCAGCCTTATAATACCCATTTATACATACAAATCAAATTAGCGACATGTGTTAATATGAAAATAAACTCGTTTTTAGTAGATGAATAGCCTGTACAATATGTTATGTTTTAATTTTGTAAATACCTAAAATTATTAGCATCATATAATTTAACCATGTTTAGTAAATAAATATAACTTGATTAGGCGTAGTAGGGTTAGGAGATTAATGGGAACATAAATAGTATCTCGCTCTTTAACGGATGAAAAAGTAAGTTTTTAAATGTAACCTTTCTGGAAGTTTTGATAAAAACGCAATACTAGAATTAGTCTGTTAGCTCTTGGACTACATTATTATCCACCGAACTCTAATATAAATTAGTTTAACAAATCATTCGACCGTGGATAATTATTACTATTATATTTCATAAAAAAAACTATTCTCTCTAATTTACTTTTCTATATTAGTTTGATGTTAAATTAACTCTTTTTTTATGATAGAGGGGGCAGACGAGCAGACGGGTCACCTGATGAAAAGTGACCATCGCCGCCCATGAACGTCTGCAACTCAGGAGTCACAAACGCGTTGCCGGCCTTTTAGGAAGGAAACTCATAAATATTCTACAAAGCTAAATTTAGGTGAGCCTAGGGCACAACAAATTCAGTCATTCATCAAAAAAAGATTTTTGAAGACGTTATTTCTACGAATAATGGGTGTGAGTATTTTTAAGTACTGTGATGTCATATATATTTAACCCTACTATAGAAAGGGCAGGGCTTATTTTAATCTGACAAAATTGCCTTTTCTTTGTTGACCATCCGTGTGGTGACGGATTAAGAATACAGAGAGTCACCATCCTTATTCATCCCGTGGGTGTCGTAAGAGGTGACTAAGGGAACAAACTACGCAGGACAACAGCACTGCAGAGAGAAGGAAAACTTGAAACAAGCCCTATACCAACCTGTCTGGCCAGCGTGGTATAGTCCCGTCTGGCCAGCGTGGTATAGTAGGCCAAAACCTAATTTCTGAGAAGAGGCATATGTCCAGCAGTGGACTAGTAAAGGCTGTTGATAATGATTGCTGACCTAACCATCAGGCCCTATTCCGGGGAGAAAGATATTTCTGAAAAAACGCAAACATCTACATAAAAGTTAGTTGCCTCCAGTCAAACAGCTGTTTAATAAATACCATACTTACTTCATTTCAGTATCAGACTTGGCAAGCATCCACACTACATGTCCAGGGTTCCGACGGGACCCGAGGGCCATGAGCTGCGACAGCTTGGCTCCAGGTGGTAAGGGCGGTCGCCGCGGCACCTGTCCCGTCCAGGTTGCAATAGCCAGCATCTCAGGGCTCTCCTTCACGAGATGCTTTTGTGTAGCGAGGCATTTGCCAGACGCATCCTGAATAAAGAGACAGTATTTTAAATTAACATGCAAAAGTACATAAAAAAGTATCATTCAGTTCTTACGCCTTTCATTATTTTATTTTCCACTCTTAAAAGTGGTATTTTTTCCAAATATTAAAGGGACCAAACAGGCATTGTATCACCGCAAAGAATAAAAAAATCCAATTCGGTTTAGAAACACGGAGCTCTCAGGTAACAGACTTATAAAATTTATTCGAATTGAGAATTTTCTCCTTTATTTGAAGGCAGTTAAAAACTAAGATTTTTCTTAAGGTGAATTGAGAATCAGGTTTAAAAATTATAGACCGGAGCAAGTAAAATATTCTCTTATGTTATCTTTCTCTTGTAATAATATTAATTTTTGATGTCAAATTATTAATATATTTTCTTTCAGGCAGTAAAAAGGTATATTTGAAAGGTTTAAAAACAATCGTGGACGCAAACGACTATGAAATATAAAAAAAAAACAACAAGCCATATATTTATTTCCACTTCCTTTTTAAATTTAAAAAACTAAGTTAAGTTTAAAAGTCTAACTTTCTTGTGGTTTGTTGGGAATGTTGCTGTTGATATGGATCATGTTAGGTTGTTTAAAATTTTTACACGTTTCAGTTTATCTTTTTTATGTAAACTAATTTTAAGACTGCTTGTTTATTATCCCGTAAAGTTCGAGTACGCTTAATCGCTTGGATGAGAACGTCCTTCGTTTAAATTATTATATGATTGTCAGTATACTTTAGAAAATATTGTTAATAGTTATTATAGTAAATCTAATTCGTAACTGAAAATACAAACTCTGCGATACAAACTTAGCCTGGTGTGGGGTTCTCGAATCAAAAAGTGTTATTACGTATTTTTTATGGTATGAAGCGCTAAATGAACAGACGGGTCATCTGATGTTAAGTGACTACCGCCGCCCATAAACCCCTGCAACTAAGAAGTCACAAGTGCGCTGTACAGCAACGGAAGAATTAAATTAAAACCATCCAACACATCACTCGTTCTTGTAAATCTATTGTACAAGCTGATTATAAACACAGACATGACAGTTGCAGCAAACATCCATCAAAATCTAGCTCAGAAAGATTCATTTCTTTCAAATAAAACTGCTTATTACAAGTATAAATATTTAAGTGGTGTTGTGTGCTATGTTTAAGTGGTGCACGCAATTTTTACTTGTCGGGAAACTTTATTATTGGCTAAGAGTCTATTGAAATGTTTAACTTCACCCATGATGTATATAACATAGCTGCTAAGTTTCCAAATAAATAAATTCTAAATAAATCAAATCAAATTAAATTTAAATCACTGTTAATAAAGTCAATTTAAACAATAATATCATTTCAAAAGTTAAATACTGAAAATATGTATAGCTCGTAATTAATAGTCAACAATATAATATACAGCTACATTGATAATATAATATATAATTTAAATCCAATAAATTTATATTAAATTGTTGTCAGCTGTTTATTGATAAGGAATTTATTTGCGAATACCTGTTTTATGTTTGTTGAATGTGAATGTTTTACCTTACGTTATTGGAGCTGATGGTATTCCAAACAAAATAAAATAAAATAATATTCTTTTTAATATTCTATGTAGATTTATACGAGCATAGTTTCAATTCCTTTTATCGAAACACAAAATTATAGATGTCAAATTAAAAAGTCGTTTTATACGCTTCCGCCTACTCCTTCTCGGATTTAGGTGTGTGCATACAAAAGGACTTTTATAATAGGCCTATACCTACTCCACATTTAATAAAACCCGACAATCATTAATATTTAGGGAGCATTCCTTAAAGTTAATCAACAAGGTTGTCTATTCAAAATTAAAGCGTTTCTCTCCGGCTATTCAACGAAAAGCGAATGTTGTCTAATTATGAATTCAGAGCGCGGGCAGGCAAGACACGCATCGCTGATGGATTGCGTTCAAGACTTCAACCGTCTAATTTGGCTATTGTGATATAACCTTTGTTCGAGTTACCACTCACTGAGAAGAATATTTAGATGTTGTATTAATTTTTAAAGAAAATCCTCGACAAGATGTTAGGGAAACGCTTCCGAAAATGAGGATAGTACTAATGACACCTTTGATGATGGCAATGATGGCTCGCATTGATCCCGACGTAAAAATAAATCATCTTTTACAACGTCCTATTAGCATTATTCATACTTCAATATACATGTATAACTGAATGAAAAGATAATTTAATAAAAAATACATCACTTATGTAAAAAAAAGGCAATGAAAACGAAGCCAAAACCGCTGACCGAAAAGCTGATGGAGCGTGAATAACTCTAATGAAACACTGTGAAAACTTTTTTTTATTCATACACAAAACATCCTGATGAGGTACTCCATATCTATGGTAGATATAAAGTACCCCGCACAAGATTACATTAACAAATCATCGTAATAATACAAAAAATATATAATTGAAACCTAACACAAGTCCACACCCTTCAACAACATCAACTGAACAATAATTAACACTAAATTAGTTCCCCGGCATGTCTTCAGATAGAGCCACCTGATCCACTAATGGGAGCCTTAGGCCCGAGCCACACTCGGGCCATAAATTACGCGCTACCACTTACGCGCTCACCGCAAGGACACTTTAAACGAAGTACTGCCACTTGTGATATGGGTACCGGGTTTAATGATCTTTTTTTTTTAATTGGATGCATAAACAGAATCATATTTTCATTATTTGATCGAAATATATCTAAGTATGAAAATGTTAATGTTTTCATACAGACAACAAATGAAAATATATGCATGTATATGTTTTTTGCTATCTTCGTTTCAAATGAATTGATGATACAATTTCGGAGGTACTATGTGAATCTAAGGTGAATCTTCTAAGTGGGTATATAAGAAACTAAAGTCAAACTAGTTAATTATCGCTTTTCTGTTTTTTCTAATTTTTTTTTGTTTAATAGTTGATCGTAAGTGTACCACCTGCAAATCAAGAGTCACACGTCGGTTGATGCCATTTGAGCCCCCCCCCCCCTCTCCCACAAAATCCTAGGGAGGGACTCCGGTAACCTCCTCAATCGGTAAAAACAGCGAAAAATTAGCTTTACACCTATTTTCTGTGAGGCCGTATCACTCCCGCCGAAATTAGAGCCCCATTATTGTGGTTACGGTGTTTTATTAGCCGGGTGTTCTTTTTTTTACATCACCTCAGTTGTCATGGTGGCCATTTTTTTTTACGTGTGGAAACCCCCTCAGGCCGTCACCCCACCGGGGTTTACGGCGGGGTGATGTGTCGAAATGGGACCGATCCAAGTTTAGCGTTGCGATTGGTGAAGATTTCAGTGTGCGCCAATCGTTACGGCGAATGCGGTCACCGTGACAATCGATTCATGTGAAATAAAGTTTACACTAGGCCCTCTGTTGTACTTTTTCAAACATAGTTTAGATTTAGACGGGAACAGCTGTTTAATAAAGAAAACAACCCAGATAGCATACCAAGATCAGTTTTCAGACGGTTTGATGTGAACAAACAAGTAACCCATACATCATCATTCATCACGTTTAACGTGGGTTCGACAGTTACTAATTCGTTAAGCTAACATGACACTACGAGTACTAATCTATAAATGTCATCGATAACAAGAATCGCTAAAAGAGTCGATATTAATTTTATCGGTAACAGTAATCGAAATCAATTTTTTTATGCTTTTCTGCAGTATATAATCGATCACTCTCAAAATCACGTACATTTTGAGGGTGGGTGAGATTGATTTTAGATTTACTAATAACACTAACAAAAAAGCCTTTAAAGCCTGCTACCACTTACAGTTCTTACAATTTTATTTCAATTGCTTTCTCTTCTTGACTATTTTTAGAGAACTTCCCTCTCCCAAATGGACTTCAGTAGGTAAGATCCTGTTACAATGATGAATTTTATGTTGCAAAATGTGCTGTGTACTAAATGTGAACGTGAATGCAAAGCTATAATCTTTACCTACATCTTACCTGTCTTTCTATGTTTTAACGAATACACATATTACAGACGCTTCATCAATCATCATCAACAGACTCTAATGGCCCACAAAGAGGACATAGGCATAGAAAGGAGGTTTTAGCCTACTACGAGTATACTACGCTGGCCAGACGTTTTGGCATAGGGTTTGTTTCAAGTTTTCCTTCTCTTTGCAGTGCTGTTGTCCTGCGTAATTTGATCTCTTAGACGGCTTTTACGCAGCCCACGGGATATATAGGGGTAGTGACACTCCGTATTCTTAATTTGTCACCACACGGACAGACGACGCAAAATGAAAGTTATTTTACTTTTTGATCATTAGAATACGGCGTTAACCGCTGCTGTAAATCGAGATTATGTCGAGATTGCAACTCATCTGCACAAAAATTTTTGCTCCCAAGTATCAAAAAGTTTTTAGTTCGAGAAATGAAAAAATAAGTGTAAAGAAAGCTAAACTAAGCTAAGCTTAGCTTTCTTTACGATGGAAATGATGCTATGAAGCGATCTTATAAAGATAATCCTAGAACAATATACGAGTAAGTACAGTAAAATCCTCAGAATTAAGCAGAAAGTACTATCGTAAATATTTGAATTCAAGCATTTAATTAAATAATAATAAATTCCCAAGTTGCTTAGTAATAAAACATCGGACCGTCACGGAAAGCATTTAAGGAAATATTTTAATTGGCAAACTTTGAACGTTTACGAACGTAATGCTTGAACGAGGCGTCTCTAGGTTAAAATAACCGTTTGGAAATGTAAGTAGATATTAATATACTATAACTTTTGTAAATAATAATAGTACTTTTTTATTGCATGGCTGTGGCAATAGGCCAGGCTCATCACCTCGCTGAGGTAAACGGTGAAGTCGATAGAAATTAACCGAACTTAAGCCACAAAATCGCGAGATGATAGAGAATACTATTTTTCTAAAGATTTACAATGAGGAAACCGGGTTTAGGTGATATAGATCGTAAGTAAGGAAGATCCCTGAAGAA